CAGCCAGGTTGTCCATCCCTCAAAAGAAGTCTGTAGAAAGGGTGAACAAGCTGGTTGGACTTCTGAGACATTATTTTGCATCAATAATTTGATTTGTTTGAGAGACCATGCTGGATTAAACAATATTTGTTGTTGGCCAGTTTTTCTAATTACATAAGGTCCAAATTGAAAAATCTTGATTTTGGGTTTTGCAATATAAAGTCCGGCCATGAGATCCTATGCCATAACTGTATGCAGGTTCGGTGAGGGATCCAGCTGCTAATTTACAAGTTATATATAACTACGGCGGTTAGTGTGGGTTTTTCTATAGCATTTATTCTGAATTTATAGGTCAGGCCTATCAAGCTGGACTCATCTGTTGTGTTATTCTGCCAGGAGCATGTTACATAGGTTGGTCTGGTTAAAGTTATGCCAACAGTCAGTAAATTCATCCGCACAAAGCTTTGTCAACGTTGTTGGTGTCAGGGTCCAGGGTATAGTTACCAACCTTCCTTTGGCGACAGCACAGTATTAGGGGAGCTTGTTTTTTACATGTCCATACTGTTGTGGGGCAGAGACTCGCCGTGATGTTAGGGTGCAAACTACTAGTTATATCTGATTTTAAGTAATTCCCAGCGATTGTAATGGTGGTGGCTTTCTCATGAAGGGATTTTTCCACTTTTCTGCATCCTACCTTGATTTCTTCACCAATTATTCCTGTCAGTACCCTAGCCCAGTCTTTTTTGTCCCAACCCCAGTCACTTGAACGGTATACCTCAGAATCGTGCAGTACTACGGTCACAGGGCTTGGGTGACCATCTCTGGGGTAGGGTCCTAGAGCACTGGTATACCTGATGGAAGCTTCAGACCACGGCCACTGGGCTGAGTTTTGGCCATGGTGTGGTGGTAGGATACAGAAAAATATCAAAAAGGTGATCATGGTTCGTCCAGTCCCCAAGTCCCTCGGTGGTCTTCTGTGAAAGCAAACATAACAGAGTCTGCCACCAAAAGGCAGGAGGTCAAAATGATGGAACAATCCAACGGGTACTTATCCGATGCTCTTTTCCCAGAGCATTGGTGGCTACCCATGCATATTTATT